TGTCGCAGTGTGTCGTTTTTGCAGATGATACCCTGAATTATCCATCCCTCTGTAAAGAAAAGTCTGCAAAAGCAGAGCTAATACCTGACTGATGTCAATAACTGAATAGCTCAGAACTTGGTGAAGATAATGCAAATAAGAAAAATAGCAGTGTTTGGGTCTCCTCTATGTACATTTATTTCATCCTGTTCCTAACATGGACAGATGCTGCTGCTCCATGTTACTTGCTTGGCTCTATGGTAATTTTACCTTGAATGAGACATCTGCTTGTCTAATTAAATGTACTGAAGAAAGGACCTAAAGTGGTGGGTTTAGACCCTATAGGCCTTCAAATTGTGTTAATCAGTTCTGGTCAACACAATTCATCCTGGTTTATATGGTTTTCAGTCCAAACAATTGAATTAACAAAACCTATTATTTACCAATATTATTTACAAATACTTATGTAAAGCAACACAATAAATTTTATCATATGCTGTAAGAAAATCTAAGAGATGGTTGGGAAGGACACGACCATTGACAGAAATCTGGTGAAGTCCAGAGAAATAAGTTGATTCCCAGCTAAAAGATAACATGAGTCATTGCACAACTACCCAGGCAATAACAGAGTATATTTGCACAACACCGTTCACATGATCCCTCCTGATTTAAACTTCAAATAAGCTGATACCAATTTCATTGACATAATGAGAACAAACAAAATAAATCAAGTGAATAAAGTCCAGAGTGATCTTTGCCTCCTGGATAAGATGCATTTAGACAGTGTATCAACTGCTACAGTGATTTATATTAGAGACTGAGATGTATGTTTTAAGCAGCGCTGTTAAAGCTAAATTTAATCTTATGTTTACAGGAGGAGTTTAAACCAGTCTCCTCTTTTAAAAGTAAGGCAGAAACAACATACTTCTGCATTTGTAGAGGAACTGACTGAAAGAAAATGTTTAACCCTGGAACTCAAAGACAAAGACAATTTCTTTGGGATATGGGTGTAATACAAGTCAAGAAAAAGAGGCATCTCAAAAATGTCCTGGATATTCAATGGGCTAAAAAAATAGTCCTCTTAATATCAAGCTTGTGACGCAAGTGAAATAGAGGTAAAGGCATTTACAAGTGTAATATTAAAATAGAAAAAACTTTGAAGCTATCTCCCGTCAATGGGACTTCCTCTAGAAATAGAATATAGTGTTGTGTATACACAGACTGAATGGCTACAAAAGCAGTACTTCGTTAGGAGAAGCAGTGGGACTATGCTAGGAAGGTTATTTCCCACTGAGAAAAATTAAAAATAGAGCTACATAGCTAAAATGGGGGAAAGGAGCATGGCAGAGATAGCTACCAATCCAACACGTTTTTATATAGATTGAACAGTGTGAATTCCACAAAGTGAAACCAGTTACATCTTTCCCTCTGCAAACAGTCTCCTCTTGGGACTTCGGAATCTTCTTGCAAATGTTACCATTTATGATCTGTTGGCCTCAGGAGTCTTAGGAAGAGGAAGGAATGTTCTACTTTTCAATATGCACATGATAAGTGATCTTTCTGGAGGGCTTGTTTTCCTCTTCTACAACAGCAATTGGCCTTTACATTATTTTTTTTTCTTTTTTAGTAGGAGGTTGCCATATTCATCCTCACTATTCCCAACCAAGAAAACCAAATGAAACTAAAAAAACAATGCAAGGACAACAACAACAAAATCCCAAACCTTACCATGAAATAAACACAAAACCCAACAAACAAACCCCACAACCAACATTAACAGAAATTCCAATTTGCAAGTGGAAGGGTTATAAAGCCAAGTGCCTAACTACATGAGGTTTAGGGCAGCTCTGGAAATAACTTTTTAACAGCAGATGACACAGAATGTATCAAAGAAATGAAAATGGGGAGTACAGACCTCCATTCCTCAAATAATTACATTGAAATGAAGACACTTGGACCCTCTCTTTCACTTGCTGACTGAAAATTGACACATCATTAGCAGATCTCGTAAGACCACAGAGACTGGAAACCATTGTTCACTGCTGCCATAAGATATTTGCAAAAATGTTGCCCCCAAAATGTCACAAAGTCCCTTCTTAAATAGTCAAGCAGTCTTCAGGCTGGTGCTTTGTTGGAGGAAATGCTCATTTATAGAGATCAAGTTAAACAAACCTCATCTGGTGCATAAAGAAACAGTCCTCAAAATATTTACACACTGAAACAATTCTGATATTCTGAGAATTTCAGGTGGAATCTTCAGTTTCTGCTTCATCAAATTAAGTGCCATAAATGAGCATATTCATGTTTCATTGCAGCCCCTATCCTTTAAAATCCTTCTGAACTAGACTTCTTGGAAGTGTCACAAGTATTCTGTCCAAAACTTGACTGTGCTGTGCCAGCGTCTGCCCAAAGTAGTCCAAAGCAAGATCCATCCTTTTGTGCAAACTCCAAATATTTACCCTTTCTGGAGACCACAAAAAATCTCATACAGTTTCCTCTAGGTAACAGAAAGTCTATGAAAGAAAACCACGGTAAAACAAAGCAATCATAGTGTGAATCTATCCCGGAGCTGCAAAAATCCTTGAGATACTTCAACTTGATTGGAAGGCTCTGAGCAACCAGATTTAAGTGGGTTTTACTTATTCAGTAGTTAGGTCTTGATGACCTGCAGACCAAATGACCTTCCAACCTAAATTGATTCTAAGTGCCACAAAGCAAGGGTAAAGCAGAGAGTTCAACAGCTGCTTTACAGCACTTAATACAAGCAGTGTTCAATAAAGTCTGAGGAAATACTTGAAAGGAAACAGCACTGAATGCAATGTTTGAGAGCAAGGGCTCTAGTGTTCTCCTTACAGGCAATCCCACGAGGAGGGGGAGGGAAGATAGAGACCAACAACCCATGCTAACAATGCACAAACAAAAGACAGGTGCTCCCACAGAATATCACCTTCTAATGAGCTCAGGAAAACCTCAGACCTCAGGGCAGGCATGAGCCCCAGCTGCACCTTGCTGAAAATGGCAGCACAAATTCCACACGTTCACAAGGGAAAGATGAAGATCCACAAATAAGATCATAGACATAAAAGAGTGCTGGATTTCATATTATAAATATCAAAAGTGGGACTCCTTCTGGGAATTCTCTCAGTTGTGAACTGATGTTTCTGATGCCACATTAGACACCTGTTTGCCAGTTAACTGTGATACCTTAAAAGGATGAACAGAACCTTCTTTAATGCTTAGACAGAGCAATAGGAAAAGCAGTAACACATCATTTACTTTATGTCTTCCACCACAGAAAGTCATGAAATAAGTTCCTATGCTTTAGATAAGACACAGAACTATTGCAGGACTGAATTTCTTGTGAGTATTGGGTACCTTCATCACGGGGCTGTTTGGCACCAAAGGAAGAGCTGAAGACTTCTTGAAGTCACTGTGCAATTGAGCAACAATTGAACTCCAAATTGTGCAATTGAGCTCCAAAGATAATGCATGTCACAGTGCCAAGCCTAGTTTACCATCTATAGCTTCAGCTGTGTATTCAACATGCATGTGCACTTCTGAAATAAGGGTGTGTTAATGTTCACAGACGAGTGGGGCTCCTGAGTAATTCTGACTCATTCTGTAATTCCAGTGCCTCCAGGGCAGTTTCTGTTTGAATGGCAATATATGGGGGTTTTTTTGTGTGTGTGTTTTTTGTGTGTGTGTGTGTGTGTGTTGTTTTTGTGTGTGTGTGTGGGTTTTTTATTGTTGTTTTTTGTTTTTGTTTTTAAATTAATAAAAGTCTTAAAGTCTTGACCCACTGTTTTACAGCATCGGAGCCGAATATATAACAGTACAGAATAGAGTAAAGCAAATTTCAAAGCATGCATAGGCAAATACATGAACTCAACTTTGTTCATTCCCCTCACTCATGACATTCAATGCATGCAAAGTTTCTGAGAAAAAAAAAAAAAAAGCCATGCAAGGGTTTAAAAAAAAATAAATTGAGCTGTATTTTAAGTGTTGATTTAATTATACTAATATATAAACACCATCAATTGGCTGCTTTTTCTGATTATCATCATTGTTGTACATCTTAAGCTAAGCAGTGTATATAACTGAACTTTACAAACATCCTGAATATGAGGTCTCAACTTTCAAAACTCGTAAACACGCATTTGCCTTAAAACTCGATGGTTAATTATCAGAACACTCAGTTTTATCTACCAGAAACAACAGGAAAAAATTATATTTTCATGATTTTCTATGAAAATATATGTTCATACATATAAATACATTTCCATGCATATATACACACAGGCATGTATGGATTTATATGTATGTAAGTCAAAACACACCCCTCAGGTCACATTTGCTACATCACTGCTTCTTTGAAATTCAGGAAATGGTTTACAGCACTGCTGACCTTACATGATTAGTTCTGAAAGGTTTATTTCTTTGTCACACTGATTTGTGGCAATCACCTTGCTGCTCTGAAGTCATGAATCCCTGTAGGTATTATAGCATGCCTTTCTATACATTGGTATGCTATCAGAAACAGTGATGATCATTTATACTGGTGTGAAAAGATGGGGAAATGCTTAGGAGACATTTAGGAGTTCATTGTTCTCTGTTCAGATATTTATGACTATGATTAGAGATAAAAAATAAAAATTACATTTACATATTTATGAGCATTTTTATGCAATATCTTCATTTTGATTAAAATGCCATAAATATCCCTGCAATGCTGCAATGCAAGCCAGAAACCTAACTACAGTGCACTTGGTTTTATCTTTTCCCTAAAATCTTCCTAAATTAAAGCAATGAACAAAATAGATCATGAGCAGTGCTGATTGATAAAAAACAATGAAAATAGTCTGCCCTTAGGTGCAATTACCAAACTGTAAAGAACTAATCCATCATACAATAGGACCTAAAGATATTTTTCTTTGTTTTGAGAAGCAGAAACAACCTTGTGGGAAAACGCGTGGGCTGCAGAACCATGCAATACAAATTGAGGAGTGCAGGCAGAAACTCACCTCTAGCTTTGTTCTTTGTAGCAGCCACTGGAAGCAAGGAAAAGATTGCACAAGAAGAAGAGAACAAAGATAGATTAGACAGAAGTTTGAGCAGGTAAGAATACAGAGAAACTTTATCACTATCAATTCAAAGCTAACAAACACAGTTTCTAGGATTATTTGACCTATTTATTAGAGACACTGCAGTGCTACGAGATAGTTCAGATCTATGATTCTGTCAGAAACCCTGTGTTGAAGACTTAGAAAATACATCAGGACACGCACTCAAAATTCACGGCAAGGAGAGCAGGAAAATCATGGACCATTAATCACAAGTAGGTGAGAACATATGTACGCACATTTGTGAATTCTAAAACTTGACAGAACAATTTGCCGGGCCAAAAGTGCATTCTGAAGTACCTAAATCTTACATCATTCCCTTGCTCCTATTTCTTGAAACATCATTCTTCTGTGAAGCTGATGCAAACAAACATTGGTTAAACTGCAGACACTCCAATGATTTATAATCTATGTTGTATGACCATTATTTCTCTTCACTGAAGCCTATTTCTTCAGATTGTTCTTGCACCGATGGAGCACGCAAAGCAAAAGGGGTAGACAATATTTTAATGAACAGTGATCAGTGTTCAAACTCAGAGAAAAAGGGAGAGACACTAAAGCCCTCCTTGAGTATCCTGAAATCGCACAGTTTCATGCTATTAACTGTGTATGCCCAACAGGGTAAGAAAAACAAGGGTAGCAGCTTAAAATGTTCCACTAACCTCTGCCGTACCACCAAAATAAATGCAATCGTTATTTGCTGTTTTCTGAGGCTCACAGATAATGCTGTTGATAATCAGGACCCAAAGTTAGAATAGAATCATTCTGTTAGCTAAATTACACAAAAAGATACTATCCTGAACTCTCTAAACTATCCAGTGCACTCTGAAAAGGCTTTCATTCAAGAGCATCTCCACGAAAAAAGGTACCTCAGAAAAAAAACCCAACGTAATTCCTCTTCTGCTGGCCCTCCTTGTAAGGCAGAACTACATTAACAATTCAAAGGCAGCTACACTTGTGACCAAAAGATACAAAAGAAAAGGAGAAAGACCCAATCCCCCATATGCTCTAGTTCATACCGAAAGGGGTTTGTTTGGTTGGTTGGTTCGGTTTTGGTTATGGTTTTGTTTGGTTTTTTATTTTGTTTTGTTTATTTTGGTTTGGTTTGGGCTTTTCTGGTGCAGTGTTTTGTAAATCAGTCTTTACTAAGACAAAAAAGGAGACACAGCAGTGAAGGCTAATTTGTTATATATGAAGAAATTGCTGGCAAACTGAGATTTCTAACAAAAAAAAGTCAGTTTTCCATATATTTATTTATTTTTCTGCATTGATCCCTCCTTTACTTCCAGGTGCACCATACTGAAATGGCATAATTCTCCTGGTAGTGAAAACAAACCAAAAAAAAAGCAGTCTCATGATGTCTACACTCAGCATTACTTCATGAAACAGCTCTGCTTTGGGGAGGTACAATGAGTGCAGATGCTTCTGCAGAGCCCTTTCCAGAAGGCTATTTAACAAGACATATTCACCTGCAAAACTGCCTGTAAATCTTACATACGCTAAAAATTGCTTGTGCAGTAAACAAAATTAATGGCGCCATTCTAATTTTATAAGAAGAGAAGAGTTTCTCCTTCATGCAAATACAAGCTGATAATGAATGCACTGAGTTCATCAACCTGTTCATTTTCTCATGCTTCCCCTTCTTTTTCAGTCCTAAGAATTACATCCACATGAATGCATTGTCTCTTCTAGTCAGATGAATCATATAAACTTAAAAAGCTCGGGAGAAAATGCTATGTCCCCCTCCCCACAGGAAATTTAAAAGCAAGAGACTTTATACTTAATCTCAATAAAAAACATGTATGTGTGTTTATATGTAAATACGTACATTAAAATACATATATACTTGAAATACTTCAGAATAAACATATATACACACACATATCCATGTGGAAATTATATAATCTATGTATGATTGCATATTTACATGTATACTAAAATAATCCATGCATTCTATGATTAGACAGCTTTATTTTGAAGCATGTGCACTAGGCAGAGAATTATTATGTATCATGTACCAGTAAATAAAGAAAAGATATAAATGAGATTGTACATTATAATTGGAAGTAGGGCAGGTTACTAGGCTTGTTAGGCCAATTATAACCCTCTGCAAATCCACTAATAGAGGACTAGATGACAGTAACCTTCTTAAAAATGTCATGTTCAATACTTGTAAGTTTTTCCACTGACAGCATGGTCCAATTACAAGTCAATTCGTAAAGTTCAAACTGCACAACAGCCAAATTAGCTGAAAATGGTCTTTCAAAATATAATTCTTCCTACTCAAGGCAACTAGCTGGAGCTGTTTCCATCAACAACCCATCTTTTTGACACCTAGCATGAGGCAAAATTCCCTTTCATTGTTACCACTGAGGTAGGTATTTCTCTATCCAAAGGCAAAAAATAAATTTTTCTCTTCCGTCTTTTCTCTTTTGTCATTCTGTGTAAAGAGAACACAATTTTCAGCTATATCTATCATGTTTGAAAATTATTAGCATTACATGAAAAGTCATAAAGACAAACACAAACAAATGTTTCTAATGAGCATCAGAAAGACTGAAATTTAGCAGAGGGAAGGTGAGATCTTGGTTAGAGCACCAGATGTGGGATAACAGCTTTTTATGCCACTGAAATCAGTGACAAAAGACCTGTGGGTTTCAGCAAACAACTTTACAGTCAAAGGATCCACTTTTGCTTTAAGTCTTCAGCAAGGCAGTCGATTTCTCTGCATTTCACATAACACATTCTCTTTTTTCCCCACCTAGACTTCCTTGCTTGCTGATTAAAGGCAGTGAGTCTCTCCTCAAGGTAGTATACTTGTAAGGCATTGATTTGAAATTTCTGTCACACAAGTAAAATGGTTTAGGACTGGTCATGTTCGGGTACAATGTAACCTAAAAACTGGAATTTGGCACATACTTTATTTGGCTAAATGAACAAGACGATCAGCAAACGGATAAAAAGGAAAGGCAATGACTTCTGGTACTTCAGGGATTTCTGTAAGAAGACATTTATAAGGGTGTTTTTTTCTTTAGTTACTCTGTCTTGTCTTTCTTAGGAAATTGATTCTGGACAGGGAGGCATACTACAGAAAAGTGTGAACAGTGACCTTTGTTGGAATTTAAGGAAAATTTTAAAGACCAGAGAAGAAAGAAAGACCAAGTGGGAAGAAAGACCATATTTTCAGAAGTCGGGCTGAAAGGTATGACAGAGCTACTAGATTTCTAGGCAAGGCTGAGAAATAAATCTCTTCTACTTTCTCTATCAAGATTATACAGCACTGTATTTTCTGAAGGCTCTTTTGGTCACAGAATATGTAAAACAAAAAGTTTGGAAAGGTCTGTAGAGTGAGGTAATCACAGAACAGCAAGAAGTCAAGGTCAGAGATCTCAGGGGAGTCCACTATGAAAGATCCAGAAAGGAGAGGGAAACCGTGCCAGGTCCTCAACCGTGGCAGTTAATTTTCAGAGAACTAAGGGTTTTAGGGCATTTTTAAATCAGAAAAGCAATTCTGTTGTAGCTGTGCTGCTGAAACAACGTTTTTTAAAATCACTGCCTGAACGTAAAAAGCTAGATTCAAATTTCAAAACCTCTAATATACCCTTGCTCTCAGGTATCAATAATATATTGTGCTTTATTTTCTGTGATATATCTTTCTGACTTCTTGCTTTTTGTATGCCAACAATTGTTAAATTACATTCTTTGATAAATGGTGGCTACAAGTTGTTCAATCTTTTCTCCACACTCAGCTGTCTCTACAGTGTTCAATTTTGTGGACATTTTTAGACAGATTTGATATAGCATTTATTTTATTTTTCTCTTATATGTGATTTATTATTCAATTTGGGGTTTTGTCTTCTGTCTTTGGAAAAAAACTGCATCTTTCCAATTACTTCAATAGCTCAATAAAAATAAAAAAAGGGAAAAAGTATTTTCCCCCAGATATCCAGCTTACTTAACTTTTTATTTCAAAAGGAGAAAGAAAAAGGAAAGTGAAAGGTTTGAGGTCAAGTCTTGTTTTCATTTCACCTGTTCCATGAACTAAGAATGCAGACAGAGGAAAAGCCAGTCTAATATCTAAATGTTATAATGACTGTATTCAAGAAAAGAAATGAGATGGAAGTCACATTGTACATAATGTCACATAAAGCACGTGGCATCGATTTTCTCCTGAATACAGTAATGTACATTTCCAGCAAATCTGGAGGTCCTCTCATCTTCAATAAAAAATTAAGACATCAACAGTCTACAGGATGGATGTATTTATTCATCTGGGTTTTTGCTCCAGTCTTAAGACCTTTTGTGATCATGGAAGGTGAAAAATGATCAGAGAAGCAGCATACATAAATACCTCCCAGCCCCACAAAAAACTTCACAAACACCCACACAACTCTGCTCCTCAACACACCCAATATATAATGCATATAATGCAGATTTTCAGTTTTCAAAATAAATGTAGTTATTTTTACACTACCTAAATTTAGAATTTTCTCTTTAATTTTAGGACTATGATGACAACAACATTTTTTTTTTTGCCTTTGGGTAGACTGATGGATTATCACTGATCATTTAGGTCACCTAAATGCCAGCTCTAATTCTCTGACTGGAAAAGCTCCTTTGTGTGACAGAAGGCTTAACAGGATCATTTTCTGCAGAAAATAATGCAAATTATTAGGTTGCCACAGACTAGAGACGCATTCAAAGCAAAGATACCAGCATGTGCTGTAATTCATCATGCCTTTCCCCTCTTTTTCAAAACCAACATTTTCCAAAAGCCACCAAAGGAGAAAAAAACATTACTATCACCTGAAATTCTTGATGGGAATTTGAGTCTCCTACATTCAGGAAGACATTGCTGCAAAGACTTAGGAGTGTGGCCGACAGATGACAGAGAAACCTGGGTTCTTAGGAGTTCTCTTAGCTTCGGA